TACTAACTAACGTAACTAACTAACTAACTACTAACTACGTACTACTACTACTACTATATATATAAATGTGTACATTTGCTGTTGTATAAAGTTTTTCTTCATTACCCATTCAAGCCGTCTCCAGCCATTATTAGTTCGTGGTATATGAAATAAAACTGCAAGAAATACCAAACACCTCAGCTGTCACAAAATAATGCAAAAATTAATTAACCAAAGAAAAGTATCTTGAAGATATTGCAACTGAACAAGGTTCCCACAAATCGTTTCTCAAATTAATCTAGTATATTTCATTTTTGCAGTGAGCCCTCATCATTCTTCACAATGTGGTCTTCTTGGCTTTTTGATTAAGAAAATGTCTAGTGACTTTTCAGCAGTAATTACTCCTCTTGCCATGGGCATCCTTTACTGTGAATGTCACAAAGTTTTTAGTGAATTACTTTCAAAATTCAATTAAACTACTTTTTGTTTTTTCATGGTATATCAATTAGTATAGTATAAAATTGTAGCTAATAATCCATATTTTAATAATATACAAGTTTTAAGTTCTTAATTTTATAAGTCAGTGTTAAAAAAATCCTGAATCTCCCCTAGTGTGAGAAATATGACATTCTTTCTCTAGGCTCCTCATTTTTCTAATTTATTTACCATCCCTCCAAGAAGGAGAAAATTTGATGTAAATCACTAATTATAATATTCTCATAACTCAGATAAAACATAACTTTCATATCCTTTAATTTTGTGTGGTTACAGAGCCATGAAATATAAAATGCCATAACCACCTGTCACATCTTCATGATTTATTAATAGCTCTCTCTTTAATACTTTAATACTGTTTAATACTATATTATTTTTAACTAATGGATAGCTAAGGTTTTTATCTATTTAATGAAGACTTATATTACATTGTTTTATATACAGAAAAATGTTAATTTCTCTTTCAGTACATGCTTTGTTCCCATGGGAAATGCATCAACTAGCTTAGATGAATTGATAATGGCTCTTGTTGCATAATCTATAGCAGAGATGGTTAATATGGGTGTTAAAAACTTTAATTAAAATAAAAGTATAAGAACAATGTTTCGACCTTCTTAGGTCATCTTCATGTTAAAAAGACAGTTTGAAATGGACTGTTACTGGTCACATGTCTTAGGGACAAGAGTGTGAACAGGTAAGAGATTGTAGGGGCATAGCAGTTAGGTGATTAATATAGGTATAAAGGTGTTCCTTTATGTTGGTTCAATTTTGGTTTGAGTTCTTGTATAAATAGGGCTTCTTTGATTTTTTGTTTGGTAGCTTTTGTTTCTATACTTAATAATGTATTTTGATCTTTTGCAGATACAGGTTTAAAGGACTGAACTTTTGAAGACCAGATAAGAAATGTTTACCCTGAAGTTTTGCCACATTCCTGTGGTTAAAACGATCTCTAAGGTTTCTTTTCAGCATTTCAATACTTCTAAGTTTCTTTTGCTATGTGGAACTTCTCCCTCATTAGCTGGAAGGACTCAACACTTTGCCAATAATGCAAGAACAGCATTCAGAAGGGCAACAGCAGAAACACGAACAGCTCGAAGAAAGACTTTGCGTGAAATTATTATGGCACCTGCTGGAGAGTCAGGTATGAAGGGCAGTTTGATAATATGGAGCAATTCAGTTAACATTCACCTTTATTGCTTGAAGCAAAGGCAATACATTATTTCTATTGTGCATTGCCTAATGCTTGTAAAGAACTTGTCCCTCAAAACTTTGTATTATATAAAACAAACTTTAACCTGCTTCAAACTCACTAAACAAAGAGAACTGTGAAGAACATGTGTTTCAACCTTTTTTCAAATTTCAAGTAATTTAACTGTGTAGTTTTATGTCACTTATCTAATTAAGTAGCCACAAGAATGAATATTTATAAGTTACACAAAGTATAACATGTACATGTAAAATGTGGAATTATTTATTTGTTTTGCATTTAATATGGTGGATTAACAGTTGCATCCGTCATGAATTGTACATGTCATTCATGAGACGTGGGATTAACCATTTGGTTTTTTTACAAGTAATAGTGCATATAAACATTTCTTGGATAACTATACAATTTTATATGTTAGTGTTAATACATTATTAATAACTTCATATCAAAAAGCTATCTAACTAACTAAATATATATATACACATACTCTACTATTTGCTATTGTGTTTGATACATATGCTACTCTTCCCATCAGTAATTTGTTTTATTACTATTTGTTGCTCAAATATAACTGGTGAAGCTGAAAAATATAAGACTGATCTGTGAGTCTCTTCACACACCCTACATGTCCATGCTGATATGTGGGAAATATAAGACCGACCCTTTAGTATCTTCACATACTTTACATGTACATGCTGATATATGGTATATATAAGACTGACCCTTTAGTATCTTCCCATACTTTACATGTCCTTGCTGATATGTGGGAACTATGGGAGTGAATCTTAGGCTACCTCATTGTATTATGTTTGTGATATTTAGTATAGGACATTTCTCCATATTTGTAAAAGTGAAAAGTTGATAAAAAAATGTTTATATCCAGTCTAGACAACCATTGCTTATTTGTAGCTAAGCACAGACTTACATGATGGGCTATCTGTGCTTTACACAGCATGAGTATCGAAACCAGGTCTTTAGCATTATAAGTCTGCTGAGCTACTGGTGGTTAGACAACTGTATAACCTATGTATAAATTTCACCCATCTTAATACAGATACAATAAAAATGAGGAAAGTTTACTTGTTGCTCGAAACATTCTGATCTGAATAACATTATGTACACATTTTTTTCTGGAAATGATTTATTTCTGGTTTTTGAACAGAGATTATGTATCAAAATAGATTAAAACCAGAGAGATCCTACTTTAAATGCATGAAGTTTATAAGAAATACTGATTTAGGAAAATAAAAACCCCAAATTTTTACCTTTTAGATTTTCAGAAAAAAAATGTTATTAGTGGATTCTGGAAAAACTGTCAGTGAATAGACTATATCACTTTAAAACATTTTTGTGAAATAAACTGATTCACATTGTTGAAGCCTAGAAAGAAACAGATTTGTGTTGTTGAAGCCTGGAGGGAAACTGATTCACATTGTTGAGGCCTAGAAAGAAACATATTTATATTACTTTAGCAAGGAGGGAACCTATTCCAAGACATACTTGCCTCCCTCACACTACAGCTATCCCTCGACTCCCAGGGTTTCTTTCTCTGCTCATCTAAGCATTGGTCTGATTTTTTTTCTTGCTTGCTCCAGTCTTTTATACCCCAATTAATTGCCCTTGGTGATATTTGTGTTTTGACACTTTCCACCTATGGCAATGCACCCTCTATCCTGGAACTGTATATAAGCACCTCATTCAGCTGATGCTATCACTTTTTCTTAACAAAGCTATACTAACAGGTTTCGATTGTTTGGAGATACCTAGTTACCTAACTGATTTTCTTTTTTTTTCTTTCGATTGGGAAGCCAATTTATGGTATGAATTCTTGGATTATTGTTTACGGCATGGAGGCAAATCAGGTCTCTCCTATCTCATCTCTGATATCTAGCATTGCACAACAATTGGGGGGGGGGGTCACTCTCAGTTGAGATTGTCAGTGATATTTTCATAGTGAGGTGGAGACATATATTCACTTCAGTGGTGTTCCTCCAGGGGCTCTGAGGCTGCAATTGAGGGTGATCATGGACATTCTGGAGAGAATTTAGATTCGCTTTTTCCTGCGCCTTCTTTTGTTCTGTTGTCTTCTCAGTCCCCCAATGGGACAGTGATAAGTTTACAGACTTACAATTCTGGAATCCACGGCTCGATTCCCTATAGTGGACACAGCAGATAGCCCAATGTTGCTTTGCTCTAACAAAACAAATTTACCTGACAAAATATTGTCCCAAACAACAGTAATAAGACCAGTCTTTAAAAGAAATAAAGGAGGCCACTTTGGGATAAGCTGCCTCTGATTGGTTTTATTCAGTTGGTTCATTGAGTTACTCTTGAGCTTGCACTTACTTGATGGCTGAAAGATCCGGAATAGAATATTTGGTTTTCTCTCGATCCACTGACACTGATTTATTCAAAGAGGTTTACTGCTCAGTTACATGAAGTGACAGTTATGCCTTATCTGCCATGGTTGTTAGAACTACGTGATTTAGCCTACCACCACCAGGTAAAAGCATATTCTGACTCAAATAATACATCTGCTTCTTGAAATTAGGGGGTTCTAAGGCAGAGTTTATAGTTAATTTGAATAGATCAGTGTCCCTTGGTGGAACAGGATATCTATGGACTTACAACTCTAATATCTGATATGTTGTTTTCCTAACACTAAATTTTGTTGGAAGACTCATTGATGACAAGCATGAACCATTGTTAGTATGCACATTGGTTCGATTGTTGGCTTCTACATTCATCCTTGTTGTTGTTGGCATCTCAAATTTCATCAACTCCTACAGGGGGGGTCATAATTCTGCCTCTATTCAAGGGTCACGACCCCGACATCTGCCCCTTGATACATTGGTACCCAAAATAGATTCTGTTCATATCGAAGGGTTCCACTGTTCAGTCAGAATGTCACCAGCAGCGTTGGTGATTAATGTATGCCTTCGAGGTATGTGGGGGTTCTGCTCTGATAATATCTGGATGTGTGGTAACCTTAACTATGGATCCATGAGCACTAAAGGTCCTTGAGTCAGGATTAGTCATTTAGTGCACATTTTCACCACCATTATCCACCCAACCTTTTGGGTTTCTGTCTCTCACAGATCATCAGATTTTGGAACTTAGTTCTATGGCTATCAGAGTTTGGTTGGTCTGGGGGTAGTGGGAGAGTCGTGCTATTTCTTCCAGGGATTTATTCCTGTCGTTTGTTGGGCCTAAGAAAACAGGAGATTGGTGTCCAGTCATTGATCATTCTCATCTATATCAATGCCTAGATTCACAAGTGACTTATTCCTCAATCTGAGTTGCCATTTTGTACTAGGATTGTGGATATCCAAGTTTGTTATAGTTGGCACCTATCTGCAAATTCCCTTAGTGATGGTGTCCTACCAATATCGGCATTTTTGTGCACAAGGGTCAGGTACTGCAGTTCAGGGTTTTTACCTTCAGACTAGCATTGGCATCACATGGATTCCACCAAATCATATGAGCTTTATCTCGTCACCTCCACTCTTTAGCACTGTGCACATACCATTCCGTGGAAGACTGGTTACTGCTGGCACCATTTCATCAATTGTCAGAACATCACACCTGGATTCTACTTTCAGTGACAATCAAGGTAGGCTTCATTCTCATAGCTGAGATACATATTCTTATTCCAACTCACTATGTCATCAGTCTCAGTATTTTTTTTTCATTTTAGTTGGACTCAGCTGACTCTTACAGGAAGCTAGACTCTCACTAACTTCTCCTTCTCTCACTGCATGGAGGGTTCTTTCTCTTTTGGGAATAGGGACATCACTCGAATCCCTCATGCCTTTGGGAAGAATGCACAAGAGATCCTTTCAATAGTCTTTATGCGACCGAGGGATCATAAACATTGATTCACTGGATTCCCCAGTTTCCTTATTCAGGAGTTGTTAAGTCGGGACATTATTAAGATATGGGTTCCTCTCCCGCCACCTCGTCAAGAGATCCTTCTCTTTAGGAATGCCTTGCTTCAGGGATGAGGTGCATATACCAACAGTCAAGAATTGTAGGGTCTATGCATGAAGGATGAGGCTTTAGTCCTTCTTCCAAAGGGGATGCTTCATGGTCTGGACTTATTAAGGGGAAAATCGTCAGGCTTCACTCTGACAATTCTACAGTGGTGTATTGCATTTCCTGTTGAAGAGGCACTTGTTCTAGGGCTCCTTATTTTCAAATCTTGGACCTCCTTTCTCAGGACCACTCCTATCATCTCACCCTAGTAGCATGCCATGTTCCATCAGTGGTAACAGATTAATTGTTTGACCCAAACAGCATCTACCAACAGAACATATGCTGCATCACAAGGTTCTGTTGGATTGGCTCTCATTTTGAAACACTGATGATTGGTGGGTTGTCCACTCACGAACTACTAGCAATTTGGTCTCCAGTACCTCACCTTTGGGCTTTGGCAATGGATGCATTACAGCTCTAGGCCTTCCTTCCAATTCATATCTTATCCAAGGTACAAACTATGATTTGTTCTAATCCATTGTCAGGTCTTGTTGATATCACCAGATTGGCTGCTACACCCTGGTTTCTGCTTCTGCTGTACCTTCAGGAGTGCCCACCTCTTCCTCTTTCACCATCTCTATGGAGGCAGCCATGATCTGATGTGGTACACCTGGCTATCCAGAAGATCAGGCTTCAGTCATGGAGGTTATGCAATTCTTTGCAGGGATTCTGGGTTTAATTTCTAAAGTTGCCATGTATCTGTCTCATGATGGACATTTACTATTGGAAATGGCACACATATCGGCAATGGTGTATTGAGAAGAGGTTGAACTCACTTTGATCAGAAATGCCAACCATAACTCGTTTTTTTACCTTTGGCAAGGGTTTTTCATCTTCCACAATCAACCTGTATAAGTTGGCCTTATTGACTACTATTCAATACTCGAGACAAAAATTCTTTGAGTTCTCAGTACTCTCAGGATTCTTTGAGTTGCTTTGGTTTCTTTGTCCCAAACAGTCATTTCAGTTACCGACCTGGTATACTAAGGTTACATTACATGCCCTTTCTCATCACCTTTCCTAATTTATATCTTTACACTTTCCTTTACATAGATGATTTAATATCTATAAATAATATGAATTTTACACCAAACCTAATATATCCAACAGAGCTTACAACAGAAAGAACTAATAATAGTAATGCTATTTATTTAGATTTGGACATTACTTTTATAGAAGGTAAAGTGCAGTTGACTATTTTTGATATAACAAAATAATTTAATTTTCCCATTCCTGGTCTACCCACACCTAATAGTGTTATTCTGTGTATCATGTTAAAAGTTATTATTATATCTCAACTAAAACGGTTCTTAATAGTATGTATTAACTATAATTTGTTTTATGGATAATTTTTTATTATTAAGAAATAAATTGAAAGATAATGGCTATAGAGAAAGACAATTAAAGAAATACATTACTTTATTTTTTAATATATACAAAATATATTTTAGAAGCTAAACTATTGATAAAGGAAAATATCTTATAAATAAAATATAGAAAAAGTTAGTTATTTTATCTCATAAGTAGCTAATAATAATTTTTCAAGTAATTGTAATGAGTATAACTAGGATGGAAAGACTAACTTCAAGTAGCTGGGCTTGTCTCGGTATTTCCATGTTATACTTGAATAAATCTTCAGGAGAAAGGGAGGAGGTTGGGAGTTAAGAACTATATAAGAACTTTTAAGGTAGGGTGTATAGTTCTATTTAATATCTTTTTGTAAGGGTGGAAGGCTGGGAGTTTAATTAGTAGAAATATTAGAGTGGCTTTATTTTAATTCATTTCTACTTTAAGAAATTTAAGGGTACCTGCCTTCCCACAACTGGCTATAGACATGTTATACTTGAATAAATCTTCAGGAGAAAGGGAGGAGGTTGGGAGTTAGAACTATATAAGAACTTTTAAGGTAGGGTGTATAGTTCTATTTAATATCTTTTTGTAAGGGTGGAAGGCTGGGAGTTTAATTAGTAGAAATATTAGAGTGGCTTTATTTTAATTCATTTCTACTTT